TGAAGAAATAAATCCGAGCTTTTGAACTGAAATGCCACAGAAACATTCTTGGAATACCATTGGCCAAGAAGAAGATGATAAGCACGACATCCTACATGATCTAAACAACATAGAGGAGAACTGGCTCATAAATAGTATCCTGACCCATCAGCGAGGGGTATTTTGGCCATGATAATCGAATAATGATGGACGGCTGTTTCCTGAAAACGAGGCGGAGACCTCTCATCGCGAAGGTAGATACAAGACACTGAAGATGCACCGTTTATGAGGTACATAGGGCAGGCGAGCTGGCTAGAGAAAAAGAGATTTCCTGGTATGTCATGAAGAGAAAGACCTGATGTTTTATGATGAAAGTATCTAATCCATTTCAATTCCTCCCATTCCCATTGTGGGTTCCGGGGTCCTAGTGAGGACAACAAGAACAGACCACAGCTTCCTAATGTGGGTTCCGGAGCCATAGTGAGGACAATAAGAACAGACCACAGTTTTCCACTGTGAGTTCCAGGGCCCCAGTGAGGACAACAAGAACAGATCACAGCTCCCCAGTGTGGGTTCTGGGGCCCTAGTGAGGAAAACAAGAACAGACCACAGCTTCCCACTGTGGGTTCCGGGGTCCTAGTGAGGACAACAAGAACAGACCACAGCTTCCTAGTGTGGGTTCAGGGGCCCTAGTGAAGACAACAAGAACAGAAAACAGCTTCCCACTGTGGGTTTCAGGGCCCTAGTGAGGACAACAAGAACAGAAAACAGCTTCCCACTGTGGGTTTCAGGGCCCTAGTGAGGACAACAAGAGCAGACCACTGCTTCCCCAACAATAAAGTCGTAAGAATCGACTAATTGGGAAAAGGGGGGGGGGGGGGGGTTCATTCGAAGTCGGAGTGCATCTGTCTGAGAGGCAAGACATCAACAATCTGCATACAAATAGCTCGGGGGGGGGGGGGGGGGGGGGAATGCATGGTCTCGAGGCATGGCGTCCGCCTCGAATGCTGGAGGTTCCGGGTTTAAGCCCTGGTGAAGGCTGGGAGTTTTTCAAGTGCAGTTCTAGTAATTTCCCCTGGTCTCTGGGAAATTAGATCGGACGCCCTTGTGTGTTGCTGCACACGTAAAAATAATCCCTTGGCAGTTAGAAATCGAAAAGTGTAGCCTAAGGCGCTGCTCGAGCAAAATTTTGAGTTAGAAATCTCCTCAAAGTATTTAGGGTCATCGCAATTGTGCAAACTATTGTGTGTGTCTTCTTTTTTCAAACTATTGTGTGTGTCTTCTTTGTTCAAACTATTGTGTGTGTGTCTTCTTTGTGCAAACTATTGTGTGTGTCTTCTTTGTTCAAACTATGGTGTGTGTCTTCTTTGTTCAAACTATTGTGTGTGTGTCTTCTTTGTGCAAACTATTGTGTGTGTGTCTTCTTTGTGCAAACTATTGTGTGTGTCTTCTTTGTTCAAACTATTGTGTGTGTCTTCGTTGTGCAAACTATGGTGTGTGTGTCTTCTTTGTGCAAACTAATGTGTGTGTCTTCTTTGTTCAAACTATGGTGTGTGTCTTCTTTGTGCAAACTATGGTGTGTTTCTTCTTTGTGTAAACTAATGTGTGTGTCTTCTTTGTTCAAACTATGGTGTGTGTCTTCTTTGTGCAAACTATAGTGTGTGTCTTCTTTGTGTAAACTATTGTGTGTGTCTTCTTTGTGCAAAGTATTGTGTGTGTCTTCTTTGTTCAAACTATCGTGTGTGTCTTCGTTGTGCAAACTATTGTGTGTGTCTTCTTTGTGCAATCTATGGTGTGTGTGTCTTCTTTGTGCAAACTATTGTGTGTGTCTTCTTTGTGCAAACTATTGTGTGTGTCTTCTTTGTTCAAACTATGGTCATGCTGAAATAAAGATCCGACTATCGTTTTAGTAAATACAAGAAATCATTTTATTCAATAAAATATAAAAGAAATTTAGTTTGTTAAAAACGACTGCTTAGATTTATTGCAGAAATATCAACCAATGATGCAACATCTAACCACCACACATGACTGAGAGACTAAGTCAGATGTTTGACAGTCAGAATTAGGCACCCATTTGGAGATCGCTGATAAAGAAATACCACATCACCTAAACAGGAAAGGAAGCAGATCCCAGTAAAAAAAAAAAAAAGTTAAGGGCCCTTTTCCACGCCTTTAGGCGTATAGGGCATATAGGGCTAGTCCTATATTTTTATAGACCAATCGGCACAAGATGGGTGATGTCGTCAGCATCACGCCGGCCACCTTTACTTCCCGGGACTGCACCCAGTACCCACTCAAGACTGGGTCGACCTGGGAGCCAAGGTCATTTTGGAAAATTAGTCCGGCTCCGCCAGGAAGCGAACAGCAGATCCCAGAGTGTCGATAAATGCTTCTTCTTCTTCATTGAACGATGACCGTTTTCAGTTAGGTCAGAGAACATTGCTACTCTCCTTCCTGTTCGCTATATTTGTGGTGACGTTTCTGGTGCTCATCTCATCTGGTTTTGAAATGTGCTTTCGGTGTTTTTTTGTGTGTGTGTGGGTGTGCTCGTTGTTTGTTGTGATTTCTTGTCGATTAGGCAGTAAATGCTAAGACGTGGTGCGTTTATAACCGTGACGCCCCCCCCCCCCTTCCAAAGGGAAATAAGGTTTCTAAAAAAGGGAGTAGTTTGGGGGGGGGGGGGGGGGGTTAGGGAGGGGTGACAAGCAGTTTGGAAAGTGACATGTTTGTTTGCATGAGCTGTTTGAAGGTATACTAATAACAATCTAAATCTATTTAATATGATAACGCGTGCATTAGTTGTAAATCAAGAACATATTCCCACGCTTCTGTTTCGCTTGTTATGGAATCTATTGTTCTTTTCTTCATCACATTAATAGTGCAGAGGCGCATATAGATCATTACTATCTAAGGAGAATGGCACTGTGATGAGTTCCCAGGGGATCTGGCCGACGCTCAACACTCATTGGAAGGATAGACGAATATACAATTAGACGGTTACTGGTATCATCGGAATTTGAACTCTTGAGACCTAGGCTGCATACATCCGTGGGACCTAGGCTGCATACATTCGTGGGGCCTAGGCTGCATACATTCGTGGGGCCTAGGCTGCATACATTCGTGGGACCTAGGCTGCATACATTCGTGGGGCCTAGGCTGCATACAGTAGCGGGACATAGGCTGCATACATTCGTGGGGCCTAGGCTGCATACATTCGTGGGACCTAGGCTGCATACAGTAGCGGGACATAGGCTGCATACATCCGTGGGACCTAGGCTACATACATCCGTGGGACCTAGGCTGCATACAGTAGCGGGACATAGGCTGCATACATTCGTGGGACCTAGGCTACATACATCCGTGGGACATAGGCTGCATACATTCGTGGGACGTAGGCTGCATACATTCGTGGCACCTAGGCTGCATACATTCGTGGGACTTAGGCTTTGGCTTCACCAGACATCCTCTCTAAGTGTGCAAAACATTTTATTTGCTGTCTTTGTATACAATTCCGAATTATTTCTGTGCCGACTTTTCCTCTTATGACCTCATTTTTTTTTCTTGTGACCTCATTTCCTTTTATGACCTAATTTCCTCTTATGACCTTTCTCCCCTTATGACATCATTTCCTCTTATGACCTCTTCTTATCTCTTCTGTAGCCCGTCTCAGTCATCTCATTTCCAGGGAGTACTAATTTTCTAAGTTACCCTGAATAATAAGCAGATTAGGTCCAAGAGTTTGACCACCTGACTGTTAATGTTATAGGGGGAAAATAGTAGACAAAAATTTGCGATCGTCTACAGAATTCACAACCATTTATAAAAAATCAACACATAAATTAAACATGCAGCCAGCATAGTTACCAGCCCATCAATTAATCAACCAATCAGCTTAGCAACCAGCTACCATACTAAACATTCAGCTAACCAACAACTAAACATTCACGTAACAAATACGACCGACCATTTAAACAGTCAGCTAACCAGCTGACTAAACAGCAAGCCATTTGTTACACCAAATAACCAGACTCATGAATAGCCGTCCAAATATCTAGGCAAACAAACGAACCGGTCATACAACCACATGAACAAATGACAGAAAGCCAACTAACCAACTATCAAGCCCATAAACCAGTCATCTATCCAATGAACCAATTAAACAACCAGCTATCCATCCAACCAACCAATCAAACAACCATCCATCCATCCCACCACTCAATCAAACATCCAGTCATCCATCCAATCAACCAATAAAACAACCAGTCAACCATCCAACCAACCAATCAAACAACCAGCCATCCATGTAACCCACCAAACAAACAAACAGCCATCCATCCAACCTGCCAATTAAACAACCAGCCATCCATCCATTCAACAAACCAATCAAACATCCAGTAATCCATCCAACCAACAAATCAAACAACCAGTCAACCATCCAACCAACCAATCAAACAACCGGTCAGCTAGCTAGCTATTCTCTGTCTCTCTGTCTCTCTCTCTCTCTCTCTCTCTCTCTCTCTCTCTCTTTGTGTCAGTCCTCCCTCCCTGGCTTAAAGATCTAGTCAACACAGTTGACTGTTAAAATGTATCATCTAGCCACTTAAAACTGGTGTATATGTTAAATAGGGAATCTAAGCATCTGCAGATGTATATGGAGTGCCATGACAAATCATTAAAAAAAAATCTTGTCAGTCAGATTTTGCTTTCAAGTCCAACCCGTCAGCCCATCAACCAAGCATCTATACAACCAGGCAGCATGCAATTCCCCTCCCCTTGTCTCTGACGGGCCTGTGTGCCCAATTTGTAACTCTGTGGAAATAAAGTTTGTTCATGCCTTCTCTGTCTCTCTCTCTCTCTCTCTCTCTGGTACTCCTAGCTGCCTGGCTTGGTGACAACTGACTGTGAAAATGTCTTTTGTAGTTAACCAACACTGGTGTGTGTATTGAGCATTGAATCAACGCACTTACAGATGTTCAGCGGAGAGCCACGAAAACCACACAGCTCATAAAATGTCTTCTTCAATCAGATTTCGCTTTCCACGCCAACCTGATGGAGTCGATCAGGTTAATCATCGGTACAATGAAGAATGGAAGGTACGCCGAGCAGAGCTTGAGCCGCTCCGCCGTGTTTCTGGGCGCCAGGGCCGTTTCGTGACTAAAGTCTGAACCCAGTGCCATAGCCCAGATACTCAGAACAACTGTTATGGTGTGTGAGCAGTAGAGTATTGATGGAATGATGATCTGTGGTCTGGCCTTGGCTCCTAGACAAAATATCAGTGAAACAAATTATACAGTAAAGTAAAGATTCACACGAGGAGGTTCTGATAAGGAAAATCTCATTGCAAATATTTGGTAAAATGAGTGTAAGTTTCATATTCTAACATTTACGAAAATTATAATTTAAAAAAAAATTTAAATAAAGAAAGTAGTAACAGGAAGGGCAAGAGCAACAGTGGTAGAAATAGTTATTGTATTAGCAGCAGCAGCAGCAGCAGCAGCAGCAGCAGCTGTAGTAGTAGTAGTATTAGTAGTAGTAGTAGTAGTAGTAGTAGTAGTAGTAGTAGTAGTAGCAGAAGTATAGCAGTAGCAGTAGTAACATCAGCAGCAGTAGTAGCAGCAGCTGTAGTAGTAGTAGTAGTAGTAGTAGTAGTAGTAGTAGTAGTAGTAGTAGTAGTAGTAGTAGTAGCAGAAGTATAGCAGTAGCAGTAGTAACATCAGCAGCAGTAGTAGCAGCAGCCACAGCAGCAGCTGTAGTAGTAGTAACAGAAAAAGTGGTAGTAGCAGCCACAGTAGTAGTAGCAGTAGTAGTAATAAAAGTATCAGCAGCCACAAAAGCAGCAGCAGTAGTAATCGTAGTAGTAGCAGCAGCATTAATAGTAGAAGTAGTAGACATAGTAATAGCAACAACAGCGGCAGATGTAGAAATAGCAGAATCAGGAACAGCAGTAGGCAGCAATAGCAATTTAGATATACTATTAAGATACATATTAATGTGTATTTGCCATTAAGCATATCTTCTTCTTATCCTTCACGAGCAATAAATTCAAGCGAAAAGTACTAGCTGGGTACATATAACAAAAATCACAGCATCTCGCCAGGTACGAGATTTCATATTGGCTCCCATTCATGCCATAGCCGTTCCCTCGAGCTGTCCTATGTTCTAGGGGTGTTAGCATAAGCGTTCCTTCCACTTTGACCTTGTAGAAAACCGGCTTCTGTTCGTTCGAGGGTCGATACGAAAGTGTGCAGCTGCTTTGAGCGACTCTGTTTATGTCTGTGTGCGCCAGCGAGTATTCAACTATTTATCATTTTTTTCTCAACTGTCACTGGTTTGCGAACTGCTTACCATTTTGGGACGGGCCCTGGATAGAGTCACCAACTACGGCCGCAGTGATAGCGACGAGAGCTAATGCACAACTCAAGGAACACATATAGTGACAGCCGCTCACAAGGTGAAGAATAGAATGCTTATAGCGTTGACAATAACAAAACATGACACCCCTGCAATATAGGACAGCTCGTGGGAACGGCGCTGGCATGAATGGGAGCCAACACAAAATCTCGCGCCCGGCGAGATGCGGCGATGTTCATGATATATACTCCTTTTTGTTCGACTACTTCTGGACTTTCATCTTATCAAGAACGTGTGTTTTACATGGACAGTTTTTTACACATCTGTCTTAGTTGTATGCAGACTGTTGGTTCATCGTCTCTCAGGCATGTGAACTTTGACTTCACAGGAAACACCGCCTATTAGTTGCCTTGCACGACATATTTGTGAGAGAGGGAAAAGGATTAAATTTTTTTCGCCCAACCAAAATGGGCCCATGGGAAATTTATAATATTATTATTGTTATTATTAGGATTTTTATTATTATTGTTATTTGTAATGAGCACCTAAAGAATGGTTACACCTCTTGAGGTCCCAAACACCAATAATTTGTAAGTGTGGAGGTGGGGGGGGGGGGGTTATAAGATCGCTTTCTCCAAATCTGCTGTAACCACACCCCTGCTAAACAGTAACTCACAATAAAATTGTACTTTCTTTTAGTTTACCCCAACTCGGGGACTGAGATTTCACGAGGAGTTTCCGGGAAAGGCCAATATTATGGGGAGGGGGGGGGAGGGAGGGAGGATTAGGGTTGGGGTTTATTTGTTCATTGCATGAACTAACACTCCTATACTATTTGTCTTTCCCGGGAACTGCTAACGTAATCTTGGATTCAGCGAGATGAAAAGATATAGAATCGAAACAACTTCCAGCTTACCGTAATAATAGCAGACTGTGGCCCAAACGAAGAATGGGATTTCAAAGAAGTGCTCCACCAGACAGATGGATAAGTACCAGGGGTGTTTCCACGCGTCAGCCAGGAACGGGTCTCTGTAGGATTCTAGGTAGTGGCTGCGAACGGCCTTCAGCTAGAGAATAGAAAATCAGGTACATGAAACGAACTTATGTTAGCGCCTTTGGCGACCCTCATAACATGTACAACTGGTCCTAACCCAACCTCCCTCCCCCACCCACTGAAACTAGGTCTCACGAAAGAGTGCAATCTACAGCAGTAGACCGGGACATCCCTGTAACCTTGAACAACGTGGACCAGCCTAACCAAGCATCAATGAAAGATGATCTAGTGTGTAGATGGGCGGAGCTAGGCCTGAGTTCGTTCTAGTTTCAAAAATCATACAGGCATTGAAACAACATATTGTAATATTACTATCACTATCAAGGAGTCGCCGTGGCGGAGCGGCTAGACGCTAGACCCAGATTGGAAGGTCGTGGGTTCGCTCTCTAGCAGAACCGGCCTTTTTTCAAAAATGACTTTGGCTCCCAGGTCGACCCAGCATCGAATGAGTACCGGGTGCAGTCCCCGGAAGTAAAGGCAGCCGGCGTGATGCTGACCACATCACCCATCTTGTGCCGATTGGTCTATGAAATATCTGTCTAGCGCTATATGCCCTATACGCCTAAATGCACGGACAAGGGTCCTTTACTTACTATTACTATTAGGGCTTGACATAGACGGGCCTAAACTATATAAAGTCACGAGTCCCAAACATGTGTTGTTAAAACCCCTTTAGCAATCTCCCACTAGTACTAGAGTCCAGTAGCACAAAAGTGCTGATAATTCTGCACACCAGCTTCCCCCCCCCCCCCCACCCACCCATCCCCGACCCCCCCCCCCCTCCCTGCACTTCGCCCAACAACCCTTGCCAGCTACTCGAAAACCAATCTTTTTAGGGTAGGTAGGTATTTGTACCCCCACCAGGACATCACACACCCAGTGACACAAAGTGAAACCACACCGGTGAGGATCACCCGTGGAGAGGTCCCAGGAACCCCTTTTAGCGGTTAGGAAATATCTATGGCTAAGCTAGTCCCCAGCTATATTCAGGGCCTCCGGCAGAAGCCAGGGCGGAGCTTCAAACAAAAAATGTTTTGTTGTTGTTTTGTTTTCATAAATAGAATGGATCGGTTCTGAAATTCACCAGTTAATATCGACACATTGTAACTCTAAATGCCTACTAAACATATGGAAAATGGAAATATATTGTCGTTTAATTTTGATGAAAAAAAGTATAAAAAATATGTTTGAAACACCAAATAAATTCTATAATCCTCTGTTATTTAATCCACTTTTTTTATTACTCTCTATTATATAATAATTTGTTATATAATCCTCTGTTATATAATCCTCTGTTACATATTCCTCTAGAAAGCTCTATCTAAGCTACAACTGAAAACACCTAATTTCTTGGAAGGAAAAAAATTACAATTAAAATATATGAAAAGAAAATTGCATTTGACCCTCTTACGACCAAGTTCCATCCGACTTAAAGATCAAAAATCAAGTTTATAGCTTTTAAACTGTAAAAAAAAAAAAAAACTTATACGGGTTATAACAATGTCTACACTTTAAAAACATATTTCAATGAATTTATGTGTAAATATATCTCCCGATAGATAGGCCAGAGTACAGAAGGCAAATGCTGTCACCTACCAGTTAGCCACACTATACTTGGACACCCAAATGTCTCCCTTCCAATAGAACGGCACTGATTATTATCATCTTTTTCCCTACTTGATGTTATCAGTGCCAGACATGGACAATGAATAAAACAGAAAATAAACTACATGTGAAATGCCCTGTCTCTGTCACTAACAACACTAAACAAGACAGGGTTATGAATACCAGCATTAGAGAGAAAGTTGGAATAGGACCATGTCTGGATTATATTGACAGGCAAAGAGTCAAATGTTTCAGCCATCTAGTGAGAATGCAGCAAACCAGACGGCATATGAGACTTTTAAAGGTGGAACATCTAGGGGAATGGCGAGAGGAAGACCAAGACAGACATGGATAAATGATGTAGCTGAAACCTGCCAAAAAAAAAAAAAAAAAAAAAAGATAGACAAATTCATCACTCAAGCCAGCCGAGAAGCGCAAGACAAATACAGAAGACCACGACACTGGGCTACAACCTGGTATCAGTGAAACAACAAAAGAAGAAGAAGAAGATTGTACATAATGTTAAAAAAAAAAAAAAAATTTTGTGCGGTTCAGGAACATCTCTACAAATGTAGTTTTCTTGCCTTTTCTTTTCTTTTAAATTCATTGTTATCTATTTATTAAAGTGGATTAGGGGTTATGGTAGAAGAATTCGTAAATCGAAGAAAGGGTGTACATATCAATGGCCGAAGGTCTATTACATCCCTGGCCCCCACCTAATAGGGCTGCAAAAATCACATTTAGAAAAAAAAAATAATTGACCTAGCGGAAAACATCAAGGAAAAGTTTTGACCTAGCTGAGAACAACAAGGAAAAGATTTGACATAGCTTAGAACAACAAGACAAAGATTGAACCTAGCAGAGAACAACAAGGAAAAGACTGGACCTAGATGAGAACAACATGAAACAGATTTGACCTGCTCAGAACAACAAGGAAAAGTTTAGACCTAGCTGAGAACAACAATGAAAAGATTTGATCTAGCTGAGAACAACATGAAAAAGTTTTGACCTAGCTGAGGATTGTCAGAAAAAGATTTGACATAGCTGAAAAAAAAAAAGATTTGACCTAGCCGAGAACAAGGAAAAGATTTGATCTAGCCGAGAACAAGGAAAAGATTTGATCTAGCTGAGGACAAGGAAAAGATTTGATCTAGCCGAGAACAAGGACAAGATTTGATCTAGCTGAGGACAAGGACAAGATTTGATCTAGCTGAGAACAAGGACAAGATTTGATCTAGCTGAGGACAAGGACAAGATTTGATCTAGCTGAGGACAAACGGAGCCACTTACCCAGCTTGGGTAGAGCCATTCCGGGTAGACTCCTTGGGTGTCAAACAACAAGGTCGTAGGAATCTGCATCAAGAAATAGCCAAACATCAGATAATCGATGCCTCTATGTTGCGAAGACGTCATAGCTGCTGAAATTTTACAACCGTAAAGAAAATATTATAATACAGATAATAGAAAAAAAAAATAATTATACACTTTCAAAGTCAAGAGAATCAATTACATTGAACCGAGTCTTATCCGAATATGGATTCTCTCAGCAGAACTGTTTGCCCCAAACCGAAAGGGTCACATACAGCATCAACTCCGTAGTTTCAGTGATGATCCCACTGTGTATTGGTAATATTGCTCCGGTGAACCGAACAACTCAGTTTAGGAAAAGAGCAACTGACCACCAAGAGAGATAAAATGGGATACAGTAGACGGAAAGAAGAGAGAGAGAGAGAGAGAGAGAGAGAGAGAGAGAGAGAGAGAGAGAGAGAGAGAGAGGGAGAGAAAGTTAGAGAAAGGGGCAGAGAGAGGGAGAGGGAGACAGAGAAATGGAGAAAGACACGGAATTAGGGTTTTATGACAGAGAGACAATATAGAGGAAAGAGACAGTAGGAGACAGAGAGAGAGAGGAAGGGAGAGCTTGAGAAATGGAGAGACAGGGAGACAGACATAGAGAGACTGAGAGAGACATGGAGAGATACAGAAAGGAAAGACAGAGAGAGAAATATTTTCAAACAGAGAGAGGGAGCGATAGAGAGACATAGAGACAGAAGAAACGGTCTGAGGAAGAAGAGAGACAAATGGAGAGACAGAGAAAGAGGGAGAGACAGATAGAGACAGAGGGAAGAAAAACCGATAGAGACACAGAGAGAGACACAGAAGGAGAAAAACATATATAAAGATATGAAAAAGAAAGGCAGGAGAATCACACAGAAAACAATGAGATTGAGAGAGAGAGAGAGAGAGAGAGAGAGAGAGAGAGAGAACGGAAAGAATGAGAGGGATAGAAAGAGAGAATGAAATTACAGTTAAGAGAGAAGTAAAGCAGTCTTACTGAGGGAGAAGGTCGAATATCCATTACAATATGTCCCAAAATCAAACCAACCATGTGTTGGATGTTTGTGAGTTTAATAGGCAACTTGACGTCAGTACTGTCGAGTTCGTGCACTGTTCTGAAATTACCCTAGTGTTTTATGTTTGGAGCTCCTTTGGAAAGTGCAATGAAATAATCTCTTAGAGTAAAAACGAATTTTTAACTACGGTGTGTAGCGTGAGTCATATTGTTGACTCTATGATGCAGAGGTTTCAAAACTGTTGGTTGGGACAGTGGATCAGCTATATTGTGAACGACTGTCACGCAAAGGTAAACCCTTAAAATGGATGAATTTGTCCGTATCACTTATGAAGGGTTAGTGTAACCTCTGATATACATTAAGATCGAATTACCGTGTCGCGAAATTATGTTCGTCCCGAAACATTCTCTCCAGTTTTGAAAGCCCACGAATAACGGTTATAGTGACTTGCCTTGCCTCCGAGCATTGAATTTACTCTAATATGTGTGAACAGTGAGTCACTGATGGAGTTGGCGAGTTTGGTGTGGGTAATTATTGGCCATTTGTAGGAAAAGAGAGAGTGAGAGAGAGAGAGAGACAGAGAGACAGAGAAACAGATAGACAGAGAGAGAGACGGCGAAAAGAAGGAAGTTGTGGGAGAGAGGAAAGACGGGATAAATAGTGAGTGGGAGAGAGAAAAGAGAAACATTTGACAGTAAAAATACACAGAGAGAGAGAGAGAGAGAGAGAGAGAGAGAGGGGGGGGGCAGAGAGAAGACTGGCAATAAAAGCATCGAAAAGAAGAAACAGAAGAAGAAGAAGAAGAAGAAGAAGAAGAAGAAGAAGAAGAAGAAGAAGAAGAAGAAGAAGAAGAAGAAGAAGAAGAAAAAGAAGTAGAAGAAGAAGAGAAGAAGAGAAGAAGAAGAAGAAGAAGAAGAAGAAGAAGAAGAAGAAGAAGAAGAAGAAGAAGAAGAAGAAGAAGAAGAAGAAGAAGAAGAAGAAGAAGAAGAAGAAGAAGAAGAAGAAGAAGAAGAAGAAGAAGAAGAAGAAGAAGAAGAAGAAGAAGAAGAAGAAGAAGAATAAGAAGAAGAAGAAGAAGAAGTAAAAGAAGAAGAAGAAGAAGAAAAAGAAGAAGAAGAAGAAAAAAAGAAGAAAACAATTTTGAATATTTGAGCTCAGTAATGAACAACTACGACTGACACAAATGGAAGTCAGAAAGAAAGACTTGCTTTTGCAATGCAGTGGATAAGCAACATGAAAATCCTATGACATAGGTGAAGAAGTTTTTTTTAGATCATGTATCTTTTGATAGGCAACTTTTGGATATGAGTCGCTGGCTCTCTGTTTTTGTAAAAGAAAATCAGAGCTTATGAACTGAAATGCTACAGAAAAACTCTAAGAGCACCATCAACCAAGAATAAGAAAACTGTCGACATCGTGTATAACCTGAACATCCGGGTGAACATCCGGGTGAACATCTGGGTGAACATTCAGGTGAACATCCAGGTGAAAATTCAGGTGAACATCCGTATGAACATCGAAGTGAACAATCGGGTGAACATCCAGGTGAACATCCAGGTGAACAACCCGGTGAACATCCGGGGGAGGGGGGAAACATCCAGGTGAACATCCGGTTAAACATCCAGGTGAACATCTAGGTGAACATCCAGGTGAACATCAAGGTGAACTGGTGTACACAGTTCGTACACAGCTACCAGTCTTGAAAGCTGACGTATTCTGGAAATGTCAAGCGCCATGGTGGTCTGCAGAGAACAGTGATGGAGAGTGCAGTTTCCGGAAAAGGATGCAGAGGTCGATCACTGCGAATGTGGATAGACATAAGCTATGAAAGCAGACAAGGACGGGAGAACTGGTTTGAGAAAGAGAGACTTTCAGTCGTGTCGTGAAGAAAGCGACGTTCTGTAAAGGACAGGCTGACTGACTGTTTAAACACTTTTTTTTAAAAATTGAAGCATTTGTGACACGCAAAGAAAAAATGAGACACTGACAGCGTAGGTACTGCACTCGGGGTGGGAGGATGGGGGGGGGGGGGTACCCTGAGAGGCCCTCCTCCTTTGTCCGCTCTTTAGGCTGTGGGTCGTTCCAGCCCTCCTTCTCCCTTCCTAACGTAAATTGGTTTTTGGTGCCCTCTACCGATGTATAGCAATTCTCTTCATAAGTATATGCTTTTACATTTAATATAATTTCCAGTATGTTATTATAGTTATTCTACAGCAAACACTTTATCATCATCATCATCATCATCATCATCATCATCATCATCGTCGTCGTCATTACTATTACTAAGCTGTTAAACTGTTAAGGCCCCCTTGGTTAGAAAATGTGGAACTTGTTACGATGTTCGGGCCAAACAAAGCGTAATTGGGCTTTGGGCCATGCTTTCTTACCTGTGACACTGGCTAGTCTATGTTTAAGGGGTGTCGCGTTGTCGTGTGTTCGCGAAGAGGTAGTATAGGTGTTTTAATTGTTGTTACATGAATTTAGGTCAGCTGTCAGCTTTGACAAGCGATAAGGAGAAGTGCCTTGCTTTTCTACAGCAAGACGAGTTTTTAGCGGAAAATGTTAACAATTCTGAAACCATGAGAGGTACTCTTGATTCTATCGTGGGACCGAGGCTGAGGCTGTGGGGTAAGGGGTTAAGGTCAGTTCTATATGTTCTGGGGTAGTTAAAAGCGATGTCGTTGTGTAGTATAGAGCTCCATGACACCCCTGTAACAAAGAAAGCCCGTGTCAAGGTGAGAAAGCCTGTGTGAAAGCTAAATTACACTATGTTTAGGCTGGAAATGGTAATGAGAATCGCCAATGTTTAAAACACTGGGTCTGTTACGCTATTATCCTTATTGTGGAAGAAACATTGTGACGAATAAGACGAAAAGTCTTAAGAACACCCAGTTCTCTTCCCGACCAGGCACGATCCTGAGTCGCAGATAAACAACATACAACTTAGTTGCATGTCTTTTTCAGGACATTGCAAACTGACCCAATTTTTTTGGGCTGGGGCGAATTCATGACGCAGTTCTACGTTCTGTAGCTCATAGTGACCGTGGGAACGTTGGAGGGTGACTGGTTGGTGTGCGGGGATGAGTATTCGCTGTGGTTTTGTGGTTTTCTCTGGATAACATAAGTAGGGCTGATGTCCTAAGCATCAAAGTAAACAACAGAAACATCAAAAGAGAAAACAAAGCAAGGTACCTAGGTAACATTCAATAGGAACCTGGCTTCTTTCGTAATATCCTACCCCAGATGACATCACAGGAATGTCTACCATTTTAGAGGGTGGTAAGAATATGTTTCCCGGCTTTCTGATGATTTAAACGACCCCAAAACATCTAAAACTGGCCCTTACACGAACCCACATACGTCCTACAAGAGATTGCAGCATAGGTCCCACTACTGCATGCAGCCTATCTACCACGCCTTGAATTATCAGACTGTCCCATGACCTGTGGATTTCCCCTGTTTGGGGTAGGATATTAAGAAAGAGCTGGAGCCTTTCGTTCAGGGACCATATGGAGGCAAAAGGCCAAAAGGGGCTTAATGCACTGACAATTAAGGAGTGGGGCTGCTCATCGTATCGATGTATCGACAAGTCAGCCGGTGAAGATTGAAGCCGTGCGGGTGACAGTTGGATGAACAAGAGCCACACCAGTGGTCTGTATGGGATACATCTTTGCACCGCTGACTCTTGCATACAGGTTCAAAGTACTGCAAGCCTGGGCGCATACTGGTATGCAGTATTCCTTACATCCTCTTTAGGACGTAATTTTTTGTTATTTGAAACCCCACTCTGGCTTTTGCCAGAGGCCGCATTATAGGCAGGCCATAAATATGGCCGATTGTCTGAACGCGGTTTCTGGGACCTCTCCACGGTGATCCTCATCCACATGGTGGCACTTTGTGTCATCGGGTGTTTTGCGGGATTCCCAGTTTTAAGGATTTATGCACTTGATAAATTTCAATGACGTTAGGTTGCTAAAAAGTAAGTAGTCGGTAATGACATTTGTCAATGATCCTGCATATTTAAGTGAGCTATTTGCGGAAGTTAGCAGCGCTGCTTGGTGA